GATTGGTCATCCCATGCCTATAAGACATGATGTAATCTGCAGACTTGACATAGGAAAAACAACATCAAATGCCTTCAAAGCATGTATTGATTTCTCTGCAGGGTATAAAGGGCCTGAAAGACGCTGGGTTCTTGCATCTGCAGTGGAAATCAGGGAGCAAAGCTTAGCCACTGAATTTCAGCAAATGCTTCAGCTGAACACCGAGGTCAAAGGACTCCAAAGTGATGATGTGAAGGCATTCTGGAAATTTTCGTCGGAGCTTGCTAGTGGAAAATCTAATAATCCATTGCATTTGGTGATTCAAAGAAACCAGCTCTTAGAAAGGATTCAGGATCCTGGTCAGAAGCATTTAATACTTCCAAAATCATACAACACCCTTTGCCAAGCAGCAAAGAAGGGGCCTGTTATAATCTTGAATAGCCATAAAGATCATTGTGATGCAATAATAATCCTCAATGACATTGCGGATCCAGTGCATGCTCCCCTCTTAGATGTGACATTGGAGTTCTTGGAATCACAGCAGGCAACACTCAAAAAATTACTGAATGATTACAATGATCAAACCCGAGGAGAATCTGAATCCTCTAGACTTGACGGCTACCAAGAGCGGGTCACAACTAAATCAATCAATGAGCGTTTTGCAGATCTGTTGTCTTGGCTCTGGACCAATGTTGTGGGCCCCATTTATCAAGTTTTAGGATCAGTCAGTGCTATCGTCCTTTTTTGGGTGCTTTGAACTGTCATTTATTCTTGTATAGCATGGTATTCACTGTGGCAGGCTTTGGTGGCTGCCAACCGGGGCATTTACAATGTTGCCTCTGCATGCAAGTCCGCCGGCAGATCAATTTGTACATTCATACACTGCAACACTTGGAGCTCTCATACAGTCCTACAACAAGGAACTATCCAGCACTGTGCCCAAATTCGGCATTGTCGGAGTAACACACACCGGCCCTTCTGCAATGAACTCTCTTAAAGGGGTAGGAAAGGAAGTCCAAAATATCCTTTCTATTATTAAAGGACCTCTGGACTGCCTGCAAGGTGACCAGGCGACACCAGATGCTGTCAAACTCCAGTTGCAGGAATGCTCCTGGGTTCATCTAGCCTGCCATGGCAAACAGGACTTATTTGAACCATCAAAAAGCCATCTCAAGCTCTACCAAGGCACTTTGGAGTTGGGAACAATTCTCAGGACACCCCTCCCAAATGCAGAATTTGTGTTTCTTGCAGCATGCCAGACAGCCATGGGGGATGCCGAGTTGGTGAATGAATCCTTCCATCTGGGTGGAGGATTCATCACTGCAGGTTTCCGCAGCGTAATTGGGACTATGTGGTCCATGAATGATCAAGACGGACCTCTGGTTGCGCAAATTGTCTATTCTCATCTGTTTCGGGACGGCCGGCAACCAAATGCATGTGATGCAGCTGAGGCACTGCAACTTGCGGTGAACGAATTGAAGAAGAGGAATATTCCGTATGAGCGTTGGATACCATTCATTCACATGGGGATCTGATAAAGGGTGGAAATCAGGAGGAAAATACTACGTAGTGCTGGTACTTAGTAGTATAGTATTAGTTAGTAGCAGTACTCCAACATGGAATCATTGAATGCTGTTCTCAAAATTTGGGATATCACGGAGAATTCGTTCCTGATGATCATGGGTTAAAATCTACATAGAGCCCAGGAAGAATTCAATGTTTGCCCTAGGCTAATATTTCCAATACGTGCCCATCAGACCCTTGCTCGAATCAAGATGACTTTTCTGGCTCACCCAAATTTCAATTTCTAGCACGAAGGTCCATCAAAGCGCTGCATGAATACCGGAAAATAGTCTCCTCGGGCATAATCTCTCTCTTTATAAAATTAAGCATGTCTGTCCGAAGCCTTTTAAACTCTGCTTTTGGCTCATCAACCCCAAGACTGTGGAATATCAGCTTTAAACTTCGGAAGAGTTGAAACGTGTCGCGGCACGTGACAGTCGCGCGTCGCGTCGCGTCTTTCTGGAAAAAATTCCCACCGGCATGGGACGTATTATCTCAGATATGAGTCCCAGAGGAATCACTCCCACCCGAATAAAATCAAGCTTTATTATTCTTTATTGGCACTCCCTCATTCAAACCAACATTTTAAACCTACTGTCAAGATATCTGAGTCTCACTCAAGCTGTCTAAATCCTAGGTGTTCGTTGGAGATTGAACAGATCAACTGGAGGCAAACCTCAGAACTTCGGAAAGGAGAGGACGGACCGCGGAGCGGTCCGTCCGCTGCTTGTACTTACTACGTAATGAACAGATTCAGAGAAAACAACATAAGTGGTCATCTTACTTCGTTAACAAAACAACATAGGGCCGCTGCACGGCCGACGAAGGGGACGCAAGGAACAAGAGGCGGGACGGTGGGAGGGGACGAAGGGACCGCGGGAAGTAAGACAAAGAGGAAGCAAAACAAGGAGCAATGGAGCACGCGGTGGGCAGCGGGGAAGACGAGGTGACTAGGAATCGATAAATGGGGATGACCGACCGCGGGGCGTGCGGACGAGGGGCGCGGGGCGCAGCGATGAGAGGGAAGGCAAGGGAAGTGTAAGGAGCGAGACGCGTAGACGTAGGTTAGCCGCGCCATGGTCCACGCGTGCGAACAGACCGCGCGCGCGCAACGCAGGTAACGCAAGACACCGCCACACCCTCCCGTATCCGTAGGCAGTACGTGTGCAAGAGAGGAGGACCGACTGCCAACGGGGCGGAGGCGGACAGGATGCATAGCCAGGTGAATACGAACGGGATGTGGAGGTGGAGGCGGACGGACACAAAGCGCGAACCAAAGGGAGGGAGGGAAAGAAAGAAAATGGGGCGGGGGACGTATTGGACAGGCGGGCGCGAGGAAGGAAGGGACGCGGAAGGAGGGGATTCGATGCGAAGGAAGGAAGGACGCCGCCGGGCAGGGAAGGACGCGGCACACGGGGATCGATGGACGGGTATGCAGGCGCGTAGCCGTAGGAGGAATGCGAGCCGACGGAGAGGGAAGGAAGGGAAGGGGGACGTGTGGTGACGAAGGCATGGATGGCGCGCGAGCGGGGGTGGCAAAGAACAGGGACGTGGCCGCGGCCGAGGCCGAGGACGCGAGGATGGACGTGCGATGAATGCAAGGGAAGATGTCGAGCCACCTCGACGGACGGATGGACGGACGGAAGGGATGGATGGATGCAGGGTGAGGCAAGTGTGATGAAGGGAAGAAAGAAGCACGATAAACGGAACGGACGATGTGCCGCCGGCGCGATGAAGGGGGAGGAAAGGCGGCGGATCGCAGAGACATGATGGGCAGAACGGGGACAGATGGAGGGGAAAAGTGAGGGGGGGAGATGGACGGGACTGCCCCGCGCCGACGAGGGGGGGAGATGTGCAAGGAGGAAGGAAAAGCCAGGTAGAGCAAAATAATAATAATAAAGGAAAATAAAAACCCACCATAATCGTCTCCTAAGCGTCCTTCTCAACGCTTTCACCAGCACCTCTTGCCCCAGGTACTATAGGTGGCGCGAGATACGCGTCCCATAGCCGCGGCTTCTTCCTTAAATCGACCTTCACGCGCGGCGCGGGCGGGACCCACGTCCCGTCCGCGATGGCGGCCTCGACCATGCGGCGGCGGCGCCGCAGCAGCAGCAGCGAGCGCAGGACGATCACGGGGGAGACGCCCAGCAGAAGGATGAGCGTGGCGAGGAACGTGTATACTGCCCACAACGCAAATCAGATTGAGATGAGAGGAAGGGTGGGGAGAAGGAGGGACGCACGGTACAGCTGCGCAGACGACTGCGGATTGTTGTCCGGCTGCCCGCCGCCGCCGCTCCCGGCGGCGGTGGGCAGCACGGGCGGCGAGTCGGTTGGGAAAGTCTATGATGGGAATCAGGTGAATGACGCCGAGGTGGAGTTCGCGGAGGCGGACGGCGAGACGGACGCAGACGCCGAGGACGAGCTGCTGCGTACGGACGAGGAGCGCGACGTCGACGTAGTCATTGTGGTGGGCGCTCAGAGTCGAGAAAAAAGCAGCGCGGATCCCAGGTAGCACTGGCAAGCAGTAGCCATTGATTATTCGGTTGTTATGGGGAACAGAAGCCCGTTCTTTGCTGGCTATTAGATTGAAGATAGATTCGACCGCCGCCAGCGGTGTGCTCGTCGTCGTCGACGTGGAGCGGCACACGACGGAAGGGAAGCAAAAGGTGTTGTCAACAGGGATGACAATCACGTCATCAATCTTCCTCCGAGGCTGTGCAAGCGAACTATGCATCTCTTTGCCTCGCCGTTGTGCGTCTCAACTCTCTCCAGATATTCACAGAAATATTTGAGACAACCCGCGTCTCTGCGCTGGAGCGCCAGTCCCTGTGCTGAAGCATTTACGCCCGCACGTAATTTTCTATTTGATATTCATCTTGATGTCCTCGTAAGCGCAGTGACCTTAAGTTTCAACCCGGAATCCATTTTAGGTGCGGTGCTGCATTACCTGCCCCATGCAGGGAGGAAACGCGGTACACAGCTTTCGTTCGCTCGTACGAGGTAAATCCTGTGGCTAGCCTCTCAGTTAGGTTTTTTTTTTGTAACTTGGTGTTCACCCGCACGCGGTTTCTAGCACTTCACCAACTGCGAAACAGACCAAGAAAAGCAGTGTAGTGTATTGTGCACGCGGGGGGTATCTTGCAAAGGTCGGTCTAGTCCGACAACCCCGAGGTCCTTGTTCGAATCAAGGTGCTGCTGCGGGTGCGTGCGGAATCTGTTTTTATCCCTAGCTTCGCCAGGATTTGCTAGCACCTCACGACCTCTAGAACAGATTATGGAAAGCAGTATGGTGTATTGTGCACACGGGATTTCATTACAAGCCAGTCTCAGCCGGTTGATTCCTGAGGTCCTTGTTCGAATGAGGGTACTGCTCTTTGCTTCGTTTTCCTTACCTTTTTTCTACCACAGCTCCAGTGAATGGGTCTAGCACTCCATCACCTGTGAAATAGACCAAGGAAAGCAGTATAGTGTATTGTGCACACGGGGGTCTATCATGTCCTTCGAATAGTAGAACTCCGAGGTCCTTGTTCGAATCAAGGTACTGCTCTGATCCGCCAATCTTCCTTTTTTCTAGTGCAGCTCACAAAATTTGATAGCACTCCACCACCCGCGAAATAGAGGAAGGAAAGCAGCATGGTGTAATGCGCACACGGGAATTCTTTACATGATGAGAAACGACATTACTCCCGAGGTCCTTGTTCGACTCAAGGTGCTGCTCTTCGATCTGGCGTACGTATTTTATTTTAATTTTAATTTTTCCATTTTTGTAGCAGGGCTCGCACAATTCAATAGCTTCATAAGCTATACTGTATAGGATGAAAAGCAGTGTAGTGTATTGTGAACACAGGGATTTCATTCCAATTCAGTGTTTGAATAGTTGAACCCCGGCGTCCTTGTTCGAACCGAGGTGCTGCTCTGTGGTATGGTGAGCGCTAGTTTTTCTTTCTTCCCTCATCCAAGAATTTTGTGGTGTTTAATCACCTGCAAAACAGGATACAGAAAGCAGTGTGGTGTATTGTGCACATGGGGATTTCATTTCAATTTGGTGTTTGAATGGTTGAACCCCGGGGTCCTTGTTCGAACCAAGGTACTGCTCTACTGGTCGTCCCCTTCTTTTTCGCACTAGCTCATCCAGAGAATTTCTAGTCCTCCACCCGCAAATCAGGCCGAGGAAAGCAGTATGATGTATCGTGCACACGGGATTTTCATTGGAAGCCTTCGTCACAGCCTATTGATTCCTGAGGTCCTTGTTCGAGCCCTGCTCTGCCCGCCTGCCCCTTATTTTTCTTACTAGTTCATCCAAAATTTTGTAGCACCCTACTGAGTCCAGAACAGAGTACGGAAAGCAGCATGGTGTATGGTGCACACAGTGGTTCCCTATTATGTCATTTGGCGACTTATCCCGAGTTCCTTGTTCGAATCAAGGTGCTGCTCTGACAATTTCGCCTCAACTTTTTTTGGCAAGTGCAGTTCAATACAGTTACTACCGAGTGCAAAATAGGGTATGGGAAAGCAGTGTGGTGTATCGTGCACATGGGATATCATTCTCTTTGCGAGAGATTATAGATCCCGAGGTCCTTGTTCAAATCAAGGTGCTGCTCTAGCGCTTTAGTCTTTCGGATTCTTTTCTTTCTGAGTTCACTCAGAATTTCCACACATTTAGCGTGGTGTACGGCACACACAGTGTATCATTATAGCATTGTATTGCGCACACGGGGTATCAATAGGAGGGCAGCCATGATCGCCACCCTGATGCGGGCGGGCTGGCGGCGAGGAGGAAGGAGGCCGCAAGGAAGGGAAGGAAAGGACGGGTAGGCGTAGATCAATGGACGGGTACGCGGAGCGCGAAGATGGAAGCAGCACGCGCAGCCGTAGGAGGAGCTACACGCGCGCGCGCGAGCCGCGACGAGAGGGGACATGTGGTGATGGTGGTAATGGTCGCGGGTGGCCGGGGGCGGAAAAGAACAGGGACGTGGCCGCGGCCGAGGCCGAGGACGCGAGGATGGACATGCGACAAATGCAAGGGAAGATGTCGAGCCACCTCGACGGACGGACGATTGAAGGGATGGATGAACGACCGGATGCAGAGCGTGAGGAATATAGGAATATACGATGGCATGGCATGGCATGACAGCGCCGGGAGAAGGGAGATAGGTATGATGTAGGAAGGGAGACGGAACGGATGTGCCGTCGGCGCGATGAAGGAGGAAAAACGGCGCATGGCAGGGATGTGATAGGCAGAACGGGGTGCGATGGAGGGAGAGGAGAGGTAAGGGCTGTCCGCATCGGCGAGGGGAGTCGAAGGGAAAGGAGGAAGGAAAAGACGACACGGAGGGCCAAGAAAAGAAGAAAAGGAAATAGAAGCAAAACCCACCATAATCGCCTCCCAATTGTCCTTCTCCCCGCGCACTCCAGGCACCACCGGCGGCGTTAGATACGCGTCCCACAGCTGTGGCTTCGTCCTTAAATCGACCTTCACGCGCGGCGCCGGCGGGACCCGCGTCCCGTCCGCGATGGCCGCCTCGACCATGCGGCGGTGGCGCCGCCTCAGCAGCAAAGAGCGCACGACGATCGCGGAGGAGACGCCCAGCAGGAGGATAAGCGTCGCGAGGAAGGTGTATACTGCCCCGCAGGCAGATCAGATTGAGGGTGAGAGGACGGGTGGGAAAAAGACGTACGGCACAGCTGCGCAGACGACTGTGGGTTATTTTCCTGCCCGCCAAACCCGCCCCCGCCCCCCGGTGGCGGTAGGCAGCACGGGCGGCGAGTGGGTCGGGAAGGTCGATAACGGGAACCCGGTGAATGGCGCCGAGGTGGAGTTCATTGAGGCGGACGAAGAGACGGACGCAGAGGCCGAGCACGAGCTGCTGCGCGCGGACGAGGAGTGCGACGACGGCGTAGACTCAGAAAAGCAGCGCGGATCCCAGGTAGCTAGCAGTAGCTGTTGATTATTCGGTTGTTATGGGGAACAGATGCCCCTTTTTGCTGGTTCTAGTACTGAAGATGGGGTGGGCCGCGGGCAGGCTCGTCGTCGTCGTCGGTGGCGGCGTGGACGTGGAGCGGCGCACGAAAAGGAAATGATGGTAATGACAATCACGTCATCAATCTCCCTCAAGCCAGACTATTCTTGGTCTCGCTGATTTATGTCCCAGCTCTCTCCGTATATTCACAAAATATTCGAGGCGACGAGCCGGTCTGCTCTCGTGCGTTAGTCCCGGTTCTGAGGCACTTGCGCCCGCAGTAAATATTCTATTTGATATTCATCTCTCCTCGTAAGCGTGGTGACCTCAAGTTTCAACCCCGCTGCGGATAGTGTGAGCAGGAATCCTGTTTGGGCGTGGTGCTGTATTACCTGCCCCATGCAGCATGAGGGCAACGCCGTGCACAACTTTCGTCCACTCATGCGAGGGAACGTGTATAAATCCTGCGGGGCTCCCGAGTATACTTATGGTTGATTTCCCCCCGCGTTCACTGCAGGCACGCGGTCTCGAGCACTCCACCAGCTGCGAAACGGAGCAAGAAAAGCAGCATGGTGTACGGTGCACACGGGATTTCGTTTGTCCATTATTCGATGACACTGATTCATCCCGAGGTCCTTGTTCGACTCAAGGTACTGCTCCTGGTCCTTTGAAATTGGCTTTTTCTTAGCAGCTCACTCGGAGTATGCAGCTCTCCATTGACTCCAGAACAAAGCAAGAAAAACAGCCGGGTGTATTGTGCACACGGGCTTCTTGGCATCGTCGAGAAGAATGACCCCAAGGTCCTTGTTCGAATCAAGGTACCGCTCTTCGGATCTCTCCATCCTGTTTTTTTCCCTCCCCTGAACTCGGGCAAATATTTCGCGCACCTAACCACGCATGAAACGGGGTGCCGTATGATGTATTATGCACACGGAGCTTTCTTACGGTTTCGGTCGCAACATTCACTTCGAGGACCTTGTTCGAATCAAGGTGCTGCTCTTCGACCTCTTTTTGCGATAGTTCGATTACTCTAGCACTCCCCTGGCCACAAAACAGGCGAAGGAAAGACTTCGGGAAGGAAGATAGCATGCTGCTTGTATACGTATAAAAAAAACAGAGCGTGTCGTATATTGTAACGGGGTTTCTTTTTACATTGGTGTTGGTTGAGCAACTACAGCAGTCATCTTGGTTCGTCTATAGAATGGCGCTGGAATCGTCCACCCAGCACGTAACATCAAGCCTTCAATCCGAATTCTTCAGCCAAGATCTGGATCGCCTGAAGAAAACACTGATTAAATGTATGCCTGAGGGAGCAACGAGCGGACGCACGAGATGTCTGCTGAAAAAACGGGAATGCTGAAACGCGCCGGGAGCGAACCACAGACCGGGTGCCCCAGTCGGCCTGTAGCAATGAATGAGTTCTCCCTCGTCGTCTAATCCCCAGATCTTCGATCCAATTTTGTCCGTGATTCCCTCCCCGAAAATGGACTTCGCCGTTGTGATGATTGGCTCGTTCCCCGTGCTGTGTAGCATCAGTGTCACTGGCCGTGCGAGAAGGAGTTTAGTGCACACGTACGCCAGAACGATAACGTCCGCATGAATTTTTGAACCATCATTGAAGACCATGCCGTCGGCTTCCACCCTCTCGACTTCGACTCCCTGCTTAATCTGCCAGAAATTTATAAGCAAGGTATGGACCAGAGGCACGAATCTGGAAAGCACCTTGATTTTTCCGTCTATAATTAGTTGACCGCACCCCGTATCAATCACTACGAGGTGGTGAGTAAACAATATGGTGTTACATCCGAGGAAATGCCCTAACTAGTCCCAGATGCTACTCGCTTCAAGATGTGTCAGACAGTGGACGTATATTCCCATTTAACTCACATGAAAGACGAATCCTGGGAACCCGACTTGTTCTCCCCCGGGAGTGAGCTCCCACGTCAATTTGAATCCGGTCTTGCTCAGGCCATCGTGCAGCTTCTTGTCGAGACTTTTGAGGTGTTCTGTGCCACCTCCGGCTGCAAGCTTAAGCATCAATGCAGATGGCATCGAATTGGTCATGAAGTCGCCATCCCGATTCGGTAGGTGGGCAGTCGGACTGAAAAGAATTTTGTTTGCTGTGCTGGCCGATATTACACATGTCGCGCCGCGTTGAACCATCGTCACCTGAAAACGAGGATAATTATACACTGAATGGTGTATGAGATAGGATAGCTGGAACCGACCTCCGCCGCACCCTTGAGGACAGAATCTTTACATACATCGGCGCCAGCGTTGCACTGTCTCATGGTCAGCATTGCAAGAGGAAGGGAAAGATCTCGTACCCCGCCAACGACGATGACTCTTTTGCCCTTGAACGGAGCTGCACCTCTGTGGGCATCCGAGTGATACAGAGGACCCGGGAACGAGTCCATCCCAGGCCATCTCGGGATTCTTGTCTTCCCATTACCGGTGGCCATCACTATGTGCTTTGGCGCAACGACCACATGTTTGCCCGCGCGGTCAATCTCGACGGACCAGCGGCCGGTTGAATTATCGAAAGTTGGACTCGGCAGCACTGTGCTAGAAAGCCAGATATGGATCTCCTGCCCGACAGCGTAGGCTTCCAGAAAATCAGCAACCTTCTCCTTCGGGAGGAACTCGGGATAGGTTTCTCTGTGGGACCATCAAGACCGTGCCGGGGTTCACCCACGATACTAGAACTTACGGCCAGGACTGGTACAGGACTAAAAGTCGACTGGTTAAATCGAGTTCG